GTGCAAAGATGTGCCAAAGTTTTTCTTTTTATCATATTTTTGTTTTTTCTTGTTGTTCTAGCTTAAGTTTTTATGTTAATGTTTTAATTCTTAATTCACATTAAGTGGATTTATATTAAACAAAAAAACTTATATTTTATTTAATATATAAGTATTATGCATTACATGTTAAACAGCAAAAAATGATGTCGTATTTTGATATTTGTTTCATTATCTGTATTCAGACTTACATTTTATCTTTACATAACTTTCATAATATTTTTGGAAAAAACATCAGAAATTTTTAATACTTTTTTCATTAATGCTTACAATAAATATTAAGACTGATATTACCAACATTATTGGGATAACTTATCCCAAAAAAGAAAAGTCATGAGAACACGTTGACTATAATTTTGTGATTGCGTTGATATTACAGAAATAAGTCTAAGTTATGTTTTTCTATTGNAAGATAGAAATAATTCAAACATTTGAATCTATATATTTTATTAGAAAAATTCAATTATTGTTTTCAGAAGATATATATTATAAATACAAGTTTAATAGCAATGTTATATTTATATTAAGATGGACAGAAACATGTCTAATCTAAAGAATTAATATTGATATTTTTGTAATAAATATAATTTTAATACAAAAGAAATCAAGTCTTTGTTCATTACACGCACATTGAACTATTCATTTTATTTATTACTTTAATAATTCCAAACAAAAACCTTCAATTTTAAGACGCTTGCGTTAATAATTATTTATAAAATTTGAAAGTGAGTATAAAAGTTCCAGAGTTTTATACATACAAAAATTTATTTGATACTATTTATATATTTATTCAATCATCTGGAGTATCTTCAGAATTGAAACCTCTCCGTNTGTATGTATACTGCCACGGAACTTCACCTTCTGGGGTCACTAAATAATGCGCTAATGTATCTCGTTGCTTGTACGCTTCCGTTGTTGCACGATGAGCGGATGTCGGTGCAAGACCTTGAAAGCTTTCACCTTCATTTCGCCATTCTCCAAGATAAATCTCACCGCTTTGTGATTCGGAGTCCACAAAATTAGGTGGACAATAAGTACGATTGTGCACTGGTAACTCGTCATTTTCTGTTTTCAAGAAATTATGTAGACAAATGCATGCCATAACAATGCTATCGACACTGGTGGGATGCAAACCAATGAATTTTCTCAAGACTCTCCATCGTGAAGCTAGGATTCCAAACGCATTTTCAATNGTTCGTCTTGCTCGAGAAAGACGATAATTAAAGATCTTTTGAATTTGATTTAGATTTCGCCCAGCATAGGGTTTCATCATATTTTTAGATAATTGAAACGCGTCATCTCCAACAAAGAAACACGGTACTGGTTTGCTACCAGGTAAATTCGTAGTGCCTTGTGGTAAGTCAAGTTCTTTGTTTTGTAGAGCTTTGCCAAACTCACAACGAGAAAATACTCCTGCGTCGTTATTGCTACCATACGCACCAACATCTACCAAAGTAAATCTGTACTTATGATCGCATGCTGCCATCAATACAATGCTGAAAAATTTCTTATAATTATAGTATAAACTCCCAGAGTTCGGTGGAGCTTGTATTTGAATATGTTTACCATCGATTGATCCTACACAATTAGGAAAATTCCAATCTTGCCAATAACCATGGCAGATATTGATCCATTCATCTCTTGTTGGAGGTCGAAGATAGTTTGGTGCTAATACTTGCATTAAAGCGAGGCACGTTTCTTTTATGACGCTGGCAGCCGTAGACTCTCCAATTCGATAGGCGAATGCTATCGAACTAATCTGATCCCCAGTTGCCAGATATCTGTAAAATTTAAAATTAAAACTTTTAAAAGATGATAGTGCTTTACAGCTACCAGGAAAAAGAGCAAAAAA